CAGTCCCATTCTCCTGGTCATGAATCAGAATTGGAACACTGGTTCCAAGATAAATCTCTAGGGGAGGGCACTGGTCACAGCTCCCCAGCTGGACATAGTGGCATTAATGCTGACTCTCGGAGTGCAGTCAACCAACCTTTCGTGCTCCCACCTTCCTGTAATACTACCCAAACCATCCTTTAGCAGCTTCTCAGTGAAAATGTCATATTTGAACCATGTCATAACTGGTTCTTGTTAGAAGCTTTGCTGAAATAAAGATCAGTTATATTTCCAGCATTCTCCTTGTTCACTCTCTCCCCAAAGGAGGGGATGAGATTTGTGTCATATAACCTTTTTTTTTTTTTACTGTTAGCACAATTATGGCACTCTCTCTGAAACACTTAAACATGGCCTGTTCTGTGACTAACTCTAATATCTAACTAGCCTTTCAGATATTGGTGCCAGGCCCCCCAGTTAATAATTAAGCAGGATCGCTCAACTCCCTTTGACTCAGCCCTCTGTACCTTTAGAACTGGCCATGAGCTTTTGTTCACTTGTGGCCCCTGTTTCCTTTGGCAGACTTTTCTTTTTTCTTTTAGTTTTCAAGATAGCACGTAGCAACCAGCTTATATGAGATTCCTGAGAGAAAAGGATAAAAGTGCTAACTCAAAAGACAGACTCTTTGGGTTATATTCCAACTTAATTAATCCTTTACATAAGCAAGCCAGTAGATTTAAAAGAAACATTTTCCCTGCAGCTTTGAGATGGTGAAGACAATATATGCCTTCCAAGCACTACTACCTGGAAGACGTTTCATTCAAAGGACGTGGAAACATAATCATCTCGAGCATGTTTTGGTGATTTCACGGGAACTGGGGTCTTGGCTGCATCTAAGGAGCCTGAGGGGCTGTTATTCTTGATGGTTCCATACTTTGGATAATGAGAGGGCTGGCATGTAAATTTGGTAAATAAAAAACTAAAATAAAATGGAGCTAATGTTTTAAAGTAAATAGACCTCATTTTTATACTAAAAGTTAAAGAATGTTTTTTTTTAAGCTGACACGAAGAACATTTGTGCCTTATGGCCTGAAGAACTGCAACATCTGATAAAGGAAGATCAGTCAATGTTACAAATAATATTAAATTTGATTCAATGGATGTCAGTTTCAAATTGATCCAGAAACGTATTTTATGGCATCTGAAAGCACATATTTTAAAGGATGGATTTTAGATTTTCTTTGTTGTCAATGTAAAAAATTGAAGGATCATTGGCTTGATTTCGAATAATATTTTAATGTACGCAAACACATTAATCCAAAGCAATGTTATGTACTTATTTAAAAATGACTCAGTATGTTCTTCTTTAGTGTAGATTCTATGACATTTGTAATAATAGAGAGCAGCTTTTTAAATGTAGAACTAGAAACCTGTTTTATGTTTGATGAATATACGATCTACAGAAAGAGTTTTCCTCTTTTAATGTTTTTCTGTTTTAGCTACTTTGGTTGCTTGTACTTATTTTTCAGATACTTCTTGTTTTTGTACTAAAACTAGTTAAGATAAACAAATCATTTTTTTTAAATCCACCGAACACATGTAAACAATAGATTGACAGATTTTTAAAAAGTGCTTTAAAATATCTATTAAAGTTTACAAAATTAATGTTTAAGAGTCTCTCATAAAAACAAAGGTAAAAATCAAAATATAAAAATCTTATTTAAAAATGTGAATTTGAAATAACTACAAAACATTAATGCCAGTTAATATAGTTTTTAAAAAAGGAATTCATTTCAACTGTAATTAAATGTAGGATAAAATTTCATTACTAGCTTCTATAACAAGGCATTTTTGGTTTTACTAAGTTTTTTTAATATCAGAAAACTTTTTACCAACTTCTAAAGCAGTGTATTCCCCAAATATTTGCAGTTTTGTCATGGAGGAAAAGGTGATCTGTTGCTCCATCAAGCAGAATATGAACCAAATGTGGGCCCAGATAAAAAGGAAGGGACTTTAACTCAACACCCAGAAGAGTCCCTTGTCAATCAGATCTTGCCAGAGGCTGCTGCTGTTTGGCAAAGGCTGGGATTGGACCAGGTGGCATGGGAGTCTTTGGAAAGAGAGAAGAGCAAATAAGATGATCAAAGGCTCGGAGACTAAAACACATGAAGAATAGTTGCAAGATTTGGGTTTGGCCAGTCTAGAGAAAAGAAGGACTAGGGGTGACAGTATTTCAGGATTTGAGGGGTTAGGGTTAGGGATCAAATTATTCTACCAAGCACCAGAAGGCAAGACAAGAAACGATGGATGGAAATTAAACAATGAGAAAAGCAATCTGGAATTAAAGAGAAATTCCTAACAGTGAGAACAATTAACCAGTGGAATGGCTTGCCTTCAGAAGTTGCGGGTGTTCCATCAATGGAGGCTTTTAAGAAGAGACTTAACAGCCATTTGTCTGAAATGTTACAGGGTCTCTTGCTTGAGCAGGGGGTTGGAGTAGAAGACCTCCAAGATCCCTTCCAGCTCTATGTCTGATTGATTAATTGGTTGAGTCTCTTTCAGATATACAATCCTATTTTCTGCCAATTAGTCTGTGCATATCATTAATTACAGCTGTCAATAACAACTATTGGGGGGGCATGTTGGTGCAAGGCACCCACAGAACAACAGCAGGAACAAAAGCAAGAAAGATGATCTTGATCCACAGAAAAGGTCCCTGCCTGGGGTTGTAAGGCTCCAATGGATAATGGAGCAAAGCAGCTTCTTCCCCAGAGACCCCAGGATCTTAATCAAAAGGCTGAGAGCTCTCCTCCGCATCTGGAAGCTGCGCCTGGCACAGCCCTCCTGCACCACCTCCAAAACCATCCATTCTCATTAAGAGCAGCTATTAGATAAGGGGGAGGGTGGCAGTTAAAACCCCAAAGCAGATAATGAGAAAAATAGGCCAAGTCAAAAGTCGGAGGGCTGCCTGGGCTTTCTTCTCCTTTAGAAGTGGCCATTTGTCATACTTAAGCAGAAGAATCGGGCAATGCAGAAGGGCACTTGGCATTTCTTTGCTCGGATTCAAAGGGTCGCTCTGAATGGCAGCACTGGATCACCCTGGAAGGCGTAACCTACTCTGAGGCAGCTGTCTGCATCTTGCAAGGGAGGAGAACCTGACTGTTACCATGGCAATTAACCTTCAAAAGAACATTCCGCTTGCCTGGTCTTCTTGAACCACTTTGGACGCTTATCTCCTGCCCTAATTTTGTGGCATGTCACTTTCTTCTACATCTTATATTCCTAATTCAGCATTGTTTCACACTGACCTAGACACACAAAAGAAGCTTTGACCCACAAAGAAATATAGAAATGCATAGGGGAGCCTTGCAAGGAAAAGTAACAACTGCATTCAAGGAAAATGGGTGATTTCAGCAGGCAGTAAAAGCAATCCATCCAACTGCAGATTTCCAGGTGAGAGAAACCCTGGAGAAGCTGCTCACATTGGAAATTGTCACTTATGGACTCAGTCTGCATTGGGCCCTTCAGATTAGATTAGATAACTTTTATTGTTATTTTTTTACTGTGGGCACATTGGCACACATTAAAAATGAAATTTAATTGCTTGCTCTCAAAGTGAACACATACATAACACACACTTAAAAATGCTATATACAACATATGTATAGACCTACACCCTTACATATAAATAACATAAATATTAATTATTGACCATCTTGAATACATAATGGAAAGAGGAAGCTTTAGAGTTCATAAGGTTAAATTCAGTTGGAGCCTTTAGGAATTTGCCAGGTTAGATGGGGAAAACCTGAACAAGATTTTGTTAGGGTTATAAGCGTATTTCACAAAAGATAAAAGCCCAAACATGTATTCTATCATATCAAAATATCTTTATACTCTAGAAGAGTAAAAAAAAAAGACAGTGAAGTTAGCAGCACTTTGAAGTTTGAGTGTTCCCAAATGACTTTATTAACTAAAAAGCGCAACAGTGTGCATGGCAAAACACAGAGTTGCCAAATTGCATGCACACAATAACATAGTAGTAGCAAACCTTTTGTATTCGATATGGCAAAATTTTGGGAAATGCCTGATTTGACTCTGCCACTGTGTCATAACCTTCCAGCCAGGACAAAAGAGAAACCATTCTTTACATATTCATTTTTAAAAAGGCAGTCCAATCGTATATGCTGTCCCCAGGACCTGCTGTGCTCTGCTTCCCTTCCAGCAGCATTTTCTTTCTGTTGACAGCCCCCTGTGAGCTAGCAAGGCTTTCAGGCTTGAAGCAGCTTCAATGAATGCTCCTCTGCAGCCTCCCAAGTCACATGAAAACATGCCCTGTTCTCACAGGAGGCTGCCCGAAAATACAGCCTCTTGTGTGACCTTCAGAGGGTCCGGAGACCGAGAGAGAGAGAGAGAGAGAGAGAGAGAGAGAGAGAGAGAGAGAGAGAGAGAGAGAGAGAGAGAGAGAGAGAGAGAGAGAGAGAGAGAGAGAGGGAGGGAGGGAGAGAGAGAGCAGCCCATTCTTGTGCAGCCTCTGAAAACTGCACAGGAATGAACCCTGCTTTGAGAATAGTTGTTGTCGGGTGTTGGCGGATGCTGACTGGCGTCGTGGCATATCACCTTTGACACATGCGGCATAGGTTCGCCATCATTGCAATAATATAATCATGCAAATGCCACCAAATTTTACCTGAACTGAGTGAACATTTGTAGCTAACAATTTCAAGGGAAGCCTAATTGTTCTTTCAGGACTCAGAGACAAGCCTTGCATTGACTTTGTGGGGAATCCAAGAGTTGGGGTTTGCTGATGGAAGTTGTATGCACATATGTGGACTCTGAAGGGGAAACTGGTCCCTGTGCAGATCAAGGATTGCAGATTTGGAGTCCATTTTATCTTCAGCCTGAAGAGGGGCTGACTTCAAATCACCTTCTGAGCTCTCCGGGACTTTTCCTCAGCCTTCACCTCTTCTTCTGCCAGCCCACAAGCTCTGGCCTGGAAGGGCAGCATCCTGCCTCATCCTGACTTTTCTTGCAAGCAGCTGCTAAGCCCACTCCTTCTGCCCCGGACCAGGGACTGGAAGCTGCATTCTTCATCTTGCCGGTGGTGGGAAAAGATTGGTGTACCCATGTGAGCATCGCCAAGAACAAGAATCTGACCCAAGTACTGATTAGTGTGACAGATTTTATAACTGCGATGAGAAGGAGGTTAATTAAAGAAACGGATGTGTGAAAGTAGCGGGCCAACCATTTACCTCCTTCCAAGAGATGAATCGGAAGCAAGGGCTGCATGATGTGTTCATGGGAAGAAAGAACCCAAGATCTGCAACCTCTTAGACAAAGGCAGAATGAAACAGAGGGAGCAGAGAGGAAGTACTTAACTCTCCACTGGCAGCCTTTTTCCACTTTTGGTCAGCAGATCAAGAGGGGCAATGAAGTCACACCAACATTCCTTCTCACTAGCTATCAATCCACAACTCCCATCATTTCTCAAAGGTTGTGTAGTCTGTGGTCAAAGGTTTAATGAAGGCTTTTGCCAGCATCTCTTTTGATGTATCCCATTTCAGTGAATCATTCTTCTTGAGCATCCAATATATTGTAGAAGTTAGTGCTTTGTTCTGCATCTAGTTTTCTTCATTTGGGAGAGCTGAATTCATCCTCAAACAGGGATATCTTGGGCTCCTAATGTCATGCTTCCATTAGATGAAACCACTTAAAAGAACATCAAGGCAAAGATTTATTCTTCAAAGAACATTTTATTCAGGCAACAAAGTATCTGGCACTTACATAGTTGAACCCAAGACTAAAGTTCCCTCCCCCCTGATACAAAGTAATAAGTTGCAATTCCCACCCCAGAAGGGCTGTCATAAATCACATTCACCAATTATTCTAAAACCCGGGCTCTCCTCCCAACTTCTCAACCTGCCAAAACTTTATCTAACATTGACCTTGATTCTCACCCAGCTGCAAATGTTATGGCTAACAGAAAACACTCAAACATTCCCCCCTTCTACATCTGAGATCCCCAAATAACAGAAAAAAGCACAAGGAAAGCAAAAGGTAAAAATGGCTAGAGTTTCTCAACTGTCACAGCACTGACACCTTTATTTCCAAGTACATTACCAGTTTATGTAGCCACACAACCTTTTGTACTACTTCTGCTGCAAATACATAGTGTATCCAGCTGCTTGTGGACTTACAATCTGCCTTGTTTTCTGCCTGGTCTGCATCCATGTAACCTTTCAAGATTCCAAGAAGCAACCTAGAACTAAGGAGAAACTTCCAGTTAGAACAATTAACCAGTGGAACAACCTGCCTCCAGAAACGGTGAATGCTCCAACATTGGAAGTTTTTAAGAAGAGACTGGACAGCTATTTGTCCGAAATGATATAGGGTTTCCTGCCTGAGCAGGGGGTTGGACTAGATGACCTCCAAGGTCCCTTCCAACTTTTTATTACTTTTATTATTATTATTATTAATATTATTATTATTATTATTAGTAAAGTGCCCTTTAGCTCTTTGCCTACCCCCTTGACTCCAATTCAAGCACCTTTGGTTAGTACGTCCATCTCCCCCCCCCCGAATTCCAGCAGCTGTAATGACCACAATGGCTAAGGATGGGCGCTTTCCAACCACCATCCTATATTAAAGTCAGCTTTCCATAAGTTATTGGCCCTGTTGGCTTCAGTTACCCTGAAGGATTCCAGAAGATATTTTATTTGTTATATTTGAGGGGACAACTTTCCTCCTTCCCCTTTTCCATCAGGATGCCAACTAATAAGAAATGTTTCCCAGCACATTCACCTCTATTTCTTTCTTGTGTACTTGATCTTCACGAGTTTCTGAGTCTCATTGTTGTGGAATGTTTCAATCTCCTCATCTGCAGCTTTTTCCCATTTGTTTCCTTCAGTCTCTGGTATCTTTTTAATGCTTTCCATGTGTGGTTTCTCAGCTTCCTGCAAAAGCTAGACTGGTGCTCCAGTTTCCTCTTCTGGCTCTTCAGTCAGTTTGTGGGTATCTGTGATGAAGACCTAACAGAATAATAGAGTTGGAAGGGACCTTGGAGGTCTTCTAGTCCAACCCCCTGCTCATTATAATAATAATTATTATTATTATTATTATCGATCATCGCACAGTCAGCCAGATGTTCAGACTGGATTTGGCATTTTGTCTACCTATTGAGTCCTTACCCGGGACCTGGGATAGGCAGATGTGGATGTTTGATGGTATTACAGATATCGTCGCAGGATGGAAGCAGTTCCTAGTAAGGCCGCCTTTTGCAATTGACTAATAGCGCATTTGTCAATGCCAATGGTGTTCAAGTGGTGCTCCAGTTGTTTTGGGATTGCACCCAAGGAGCCTATGACTATTGGTACTACCCTTGCTTGCTTTTGCCACAGTCTTTCTATTTCTATTTGTAGGTCTTTGTATTTTGTTATCTTCTCCAGTTCTTTCTCTTCTATTCTGCTGTCTCCAGGCACTGCCACATCCACTATCCAGACTTTTTTGTCTTTCTTATCGACAATTGTTAAGTCTGTGGTGTTATGTTGCAGGTGCTTGTCTGTTTGAATTCTGAAGTCCCAGAGCAGTTTAATTTTATCATTTTCTATGACTTTCTCTATTTTATGATCCCACCAGTTTTTGCTTACAGGCAAATGATATTTTTTGCAGATCTTCCAATGCACCATTGTTGCTACTTTGTCATGCCGCTGCTTGTAATCAGTCTGTGCAATCTTCTTGCAACAGCTTACCAAGTGGTCCACTGTTTCTTCAGCTTCTTTGCATAGGCGGCACTTACTGTCTGTTGCTGTCTTCTCAATTTTGACTTTGTATGCATTTGTCCTTAAGGCTTGGTCTTGTGCAGCCAGAATTAGTCCCTCGGTCTCTTTCTTCAATTTTCCTGCTCTTAGCCATTGCCAGGTTTTATTGTTATCTGCTTTCCCAGCTATTTTTTTCATGTAGCTGGGAAAGCAGATAACAATAAAACCTGGCAATGGCTAAGGTTTTATTGCCAGGTTTTATTGTTATCTGCTTATTATTGTTATTATTATTATTATTATACCAGTGGTGGCAAACCTATGGCATGGGTGCCAAAGGCAGCACTCGGAGCCCTCTCTGTGGGCACATGTGCCATTGCCCCAGCCTTGCCTCCACCCGCAACCCCCTCCTCTCCAGGAGCCCCCCTGAAGGAGAGTCGCCCCCTGAAGGAGAGTGACCCACGTGGAGCAGCACAGCAAAGGACATGGCAGCCAGGCAGTGTAGACAAGAATCTGGCCTCATGCCCCATCATGCACAGCTGATGCTGTGGGGCATGGGCAGAGGGCCTGGCCCCCGTGGCGCTGCTGTACTGCCTGGGTGATCTGCAGCAGGCCCTGGAGGCAGTGAGTGGCCCTGCAGGCAAGCAGGGTAGGGCAGAGTGGGGGCGGGGCAGGGGGTGGAGTGGGAGCGGGGCCAGTTTTGGGGCACTTGGTCTCTAAAAGGTTCATCATCACTGCCCTATACCATTTCAGACAAATGGTTGTCCAATTTCTTCTTAAAAACCTCCATTGATGAAGCACCTACAACTTCTGGAACTTATAACGTCTGAAAATTTACAACCTCTTTGGAACTTGCAGTAGTCTCTGCTCATCTTGTGCAAGGTTGTGGAAAGAAGGTGAGGAATGAACTGCTTGGCTTATTGGAGAATAGGCAACAGAGTCCAGATGTGAAGGACCCAGAAATAAAGCATTTCACCATAATTAACTATAGCTGAGGTTGGGAATTTGTCCTTACAGTTTCCAAGATTTTGTACTTACCCCAAACTGACATTAAAGACACCTTACTGAAATCTGTAAAGTTTTTGCTTCCTAGGTTTGCCAGCTCTATGGGACATGGCACGTCGTTTACCTGGACCTAGAGAACAAAATGTGATACCTCATGGTTGTTCTCTTTTTTGTTATTTTATGAATAGCAATGCTGTCTATTTTAATGGTTTGTGTGGTAGATCCCTTGCAGTATTATGAGTATTTTTCTCTCTAGAAGCATCTGAGATTCAATTTTTTTTTCAATTTGCCAGGAAAATGTGCATTCAGATTCATTGCCCAATTCAATCAATCTTTTCTATGATAATTTTGGAGGATTGAAAGAGATGCCTTTGAACTTTTGAACCGAAACCATTGTTGGGTCATACCGGTCCTACATGAATCATTATGTGTGAAATTCAGTCTGCCAGGTTTCACTTTCTAGGCCAACCACGTCGCAACTAATTTACCCAAACCTTTGTCAATGAAGTAATCCCTCTCTTTGCTTTATTTTATTTAGTGACTTATTTAAATTTCTTGGCTGCCTAACTCCAGTGGACGCTGGGCAAGGAAGAAAACTAGGAAAAACATAAAAACAGCTAAAAATATTGGATCCCACAGACAGCCCAGAGTACAAAAATGGGATGGGCAGCAAATTGGCTGCCTTGCTGTGCTGTTTGTCTGCTGCTCATTGAAGGTGGACAAGTTCTTCCATCAGCTCCATCATCAGGCTGCAGACTTTGGTTGTCAAGTCTTCTTCTGTGTGCCGATTTGATCCTACAGCCTGGAGAGTTCTCTATTCAGATCCTTCCAACTAGAGAACTGTGGCTGATCCCTCCAGTCAAAAATTTCCAAGGCTATTTTCTTGCCTTTGTCATCATCTCTGTGCCCGACCACTCCACCCTCATTCTTGCAAAAGATCAGGCTTTTTGCCTCTAAAGACTGGGGGGGGGTTTCTCCTCTTCTCTCTGAAAGCTCCATCTTTTGTTTGCCTCCACAATAAAACCACACTTGGAATACTGCATTCAGTTTTGGTCACTTCAATGCAAAAAAAAAATGTTGAGACTCTGGAAATGCTGCTGAGAAGAGAAACAAAAATTATTTGGGGGCTGGAGGCTAAAATATACAAAGAACAGTTGCAGAAATTGGGTATATCTCATCCAGGGGTAGGCAACTTTGGCTCTTTTATGACTCGTGGACTTCAACTCCCAGAATTCCTGAGCTAGCATGGAGTCCATGAGTCATAAAAGAGCAAAGGTTGCCTATCCCTGGTCTAGTCTAAAGAAAAAAAGGACTAGAGGAGCCATGATATCACTG